ATGCAAAACAGCGATGATCACTGGAAAGGATAGTACAATCGCCCTGTATGCTGTCATGTCATGCACGGCGGCGGAGTTTCGTTGCAGAACAAGACAGATAAAGTTACTTAGTGTTTGTCTCTGGTCCAAACTGGTAATTTTTCATCTTTATACATAGTGTTGTTATTTATCCAAAAATGAAGATATATTAGACAAATTAAAGAGTATATATATTATCAGATAATTCTATGTGACGATAATTAGTTTTGATTATCTACATATAACTTTCATTTGGAACAGTATATGAGGTTTATTGAATGAAATGTTCATTCTTCATATTAGATATTATGCTGCAACTTTACTCCATCCCGAATATCGATTATTAAAAGCTTGTTTTGCAATTGAAAGTTTTAAATGTTATATTTATGTTCGACAGCAAATACAACTAATTTCAATCGAACTAATAAAATTAAACGAACAGAAAACAAATGAATAGGTGATAAAAGAGTTGAAAGATAGATAGTTTCGTCGACTGAAGTCTGATGATTTTTAGGCTCAAAAAGAAATTGGAGAGAAATCGAATAACTAAACCAAAGAATATTCTTTTGATGTTAAGAAAAATGACGAACTTAACAAATGTTTAATTACCATCAAACCCGTTATCTTTTTGGAGGATCAGCAGAAACTTATTTTTACGATACCAACTGTTTCTGTACGTGTTGAAAGATAATTTTTAGAATCAGAATCAGTTATTCAAGAAAGACAAACTAGTCTTAGTCTTGAACAATCAGATAATATTCTATTAGTATGATCCATGCAACAGTATGAAAGGCTCTTTTAAGAGTTATATTTTTATTGGTTGTTTTACTCATTATGTCCTTTTATTAATAGCATTCACGTTATTGAAACACCCACTCATCGTTCTGTTTCTCATTTCTGTTGATGATACTATTCACTGTGTGAATACAACGATAATAATGAAACGTTTTACATTGATTGTTTCGTTTTTTTTTAATCGTTCAATCAGCAGCAAATCTGGCAGATAGGAGTGAATCGAAAATATTCTCATATCACATGCCATGAATTTTACTCGAGTTGTATGTATTTGAAATTTCATTTCCGAAGGCCTTTGCCTGATTTAAGTAGGTATGTACAGAAGCTTTTTTTCGTTACTCTCGAATACTTTAATACAAACAACTTCAGTTATGAAATAAAAAGCTAAATAATTTGATCTAATCTCTAAAAACATAGACATAATGTTGCACTACAAAATGAGACATCTTTGAGCTTTGAACTTCAATTATGGTAATTTTTATTTGCATTATTAAAAAAATGTCTTAGATGAGCTTGACCAAGAGTGTGGATGTGTGCAGTGTTTATGTTCGTTTTAATGAAACTTTTACGAAGAGCAAAACGTTCTCAAAAACTCCAAAACAAAGAGTGTAGACCTGAACTATTGTCCGTAGGCACGTGTGATAGTCACTATATACTCTTGAAAGTTTCAACGTAAACAAACATGACGTTTTTAAAAATACTCCATTTCCAAATAGACTCGATTACTGCGCTCTCAAATGGCAAATCGCTTACTTTTTTGAAAATTGAATATTTCGAGCAAGATATGTTCATTTTCTTTGAAACTTTTAAAAATATTTAATGATTGACCATCCTGTCTATAAACAAAATTTCAGCTAGACACTCTTTGCTTTGAATTTTTGTAGAAAATGTTTACTCTTTGTAAACAATTTCATTAAAATAATCATAATTTTTCACTTGAAGGCCATAGATACAAATCTTTTTAAAGTTTTGCTAGTGTCATTGAGACATACTCGCGTCTATTGTAAGAAGTTGCATAGCAAGATTGGCTGTTTGCGTTTACTTCAATACTCAATATTTTAGATCTTAGCAGGAAAATAATTCAAGGTTCAGAAAATGTTACGGCTATACTAATTGACTTCTGGAAACATAGCTTTAGATTATCATTACATCAACCTGAGTATCTGTTGGCGTATTCAATGTATGATGCATTTCATTGCATTCTACTCGTTTTAACATCAATTTCATCAGGTTTTCTAGTTTGACTAAATTTTTTTCAATTTCAAATGTAAAGTTTTAGCATTTTCTTTGAATTTTTCGTTGATGTCCTTGCTTAAGTATTCGAGATTTTGTTGTTGTTTTTTTCTTAGAAAACCTATATTTCATACATATAACTTCTCAAAAAAAAAATCAAAACAAATTGAAATATGAAAAAAAAATTAACTATATCTTACAAAAAAAGATCTAGAAACGTTTCTACACTTTACTGTTCTCTTTAAAAGAAACATTACTGTTGTTGATGGTTATTACAGTATTGTTTAAACAAAATAATAAGTGATTGTATTTGTGATTGATGCATTGGTGAAAGAAGTGGAGATTGTTCTAATAAAAGCTTCATATCATTAATCCATTTCGGAAATGTACGAGCTAATCTTTCACAATGACGAAAAAGAAAAAGATAGAACCAATGTTCTGAAATAATTGATGTTGATGGAAAATTTTTTTGAATACAAAGTAAATATTCTTTTTCAGCACGACAACGACATGCTAAAAATGAATTATCGAATGAGGAAATCATTTCACGAATTATTGTTTCTTCTTCATATGATGTTAATGGATGAAAACAAACAGATGATGTATGTTTTAAAGATGATTGTGTTTCATTATTCTCTGTAGACACATCTGATAAACAAATTATATCATCCTAAAAACAAAAGTACAAACAATATTTTTATCTTGATTAGAAATATTCGTTTCTTGTTGTTATGTACTAATTCATCTGGGTTTGTACTAAATAATTGTAAAATTTCTTCAGTATCATTTTCTTGATCTTTAATTAGAATTGATTTATCTTCTTCAATGTTAGTTTCTTTTGTAGGTACTTCACTAATTAATTCTGGTTGATTAATGTCATCCCAATACCACCATTCATTTTTTAGAATAGTAATACGTTTTCGTAATGAAAGTTTCGATAATTTAACTGTTTGTTTAATAGCAATATTTAAATTGGATTTATCTTTTAATGTTAATCTTTGTTCTTCTTGTGATTTACTTTTCATCTAAATATTCAAAAAAAAAAATTATTGTTTTCTTTGAATGTATTTTTTAACTTTACGACGCCATTTTCTACGTTGTCTACTAAATTTTTCTGGTCCAATAAATGGTAAAACACGTGTCGTTTGAATCCAACTTCGTTCAGCAGTTTCACCGAAAAAGAAAACATGCACATAAGTAGATTTTCCTACAATGAATTTATTTTGAGAGAAACAAATTAGAATGAAATCGTTGATTTGTTTCTCTAGAATTTTGTACCTTTATGACGAATCCAATCTTGATTTTCTTCAGTAAATATAACAGCAGGCCAAAATGGTGCTGATGCCAATTTTGCCCACACAAGTTGTCCGAAATGAAATGAAGTAGACGATGCTAAATTGACAATAGAATCAATCTTGATTAGTAGCACTAAGTTTATAATGATTTTGCAATCTTTTATCTCGATATAGAGACAGAAATAGCAAAGACTTCGAGCTTGAAGTCCACTGTTTCCCTCTTGCTCAATATGCATCCATTTCAAAAGTTTTTGGTCAAATCAGATTTTATTCAACTTAGTGAGTTTGTATCGCTGTATCATGACTATTAGGACTAAATTCTGCCGAAGAAAATAAATCATTGTTGAGACTTTTATTCTGTATTATTTTAACCTTGAATTCGTTAGCATTTAAACGAAAACAGTTTTTTTCATTTAATATGTTTATTCTATCAAACATCAATTGTCAATGATCTACAAAAAAGATCAATGAAGTAGCGATCTCTTATTTTTATTACATAATCTTTATTATCCAACATTGCGGAAATTTCTGCCAAATGATATGCATAATCGAGAAAAATAGACTCATGAAATCGATCAAAATCTGTTACTTCTTACTGTCTGATGGATCTCTTGTTAATTCATGCTTTGAAGTCATTCTTTTGATCTAAAATATAGAACATTAGATATTATGAATCATATATTTTAATTCAGATAAGATAGAAAGTAGCCAAAAAAAGAATATGAAACAGATAGTATCAAAGGGAAAAAAAAATGAAATACGAGCAAATCGTATCAAGAAAGAGATCGTATATACATTATCAGTAAATAAAAGAAGAAAAAAAAACAAATCAATCAGTCTTGATTATCAAATAGAACATTGAGTGAATCGACAATCTAAAACAAAATTTAGCATAAATATTATATAAAATATTATATTGATTAAAATGATAAGAACAGAATACGTTTTATTTTTTCTTCTGTGATGCTAAGTATCTAAGTAAAAGTCAAATAGTAATTTGGATTATCAAAAAAAAATTCTCTATCAGATGCACTACATATCAAGGTTTTCTTTTTCGACTTTGCTGGAAAGCATTTTAAAAAACTCCAACACAGTAGTTTTCAGGTCTCGAAAATGTCGTAGAAGTTCACTTTTAGCATTAGTATATGAAAGAACAATAAAATTCCGAACAATATGACGTATCGCCACATTTTCTACGAAAAAATCCAACAATCCTTCATATCATTCACAATTTTATGTTCCTTCACATGGTATTTTTAGAAACGAACTTTCACAGCGCCGCAAAGGATCTGAAAACTAACGTGTTCAGCAGTGTTTTATCCAGACGGGTGCCCGGGTGGGCCGCGCCCCCCTGAAACTTGCGATCATCGTACTAAAAACACGTGGCTTGCTCTCCCGAAAATAATTTTTCGGCCCCCCGAAATTCCAAATCGCCCCTCCGGAGAAAAAATCCTGGATAAAACACTGGTGTTCAGTTTTTTAGAGCACTTTTTCATATAGTCCAACAATAAAATTTTGATATCGGTTGAACGGAAAAAAATCCAAAATATTTTGTTCTTATCATTTTCACCAGTACTATAGATTTGACATCTGTAACTAACCTCTTTTTTCGTCATTGAATTAATATCAATATTTCGATCGAACTTTTCTAAGGCATTCATCCATGATGATGAATCCTTTTTAACATTGATATCCAATTCATTTGAAATAACAAGAATTCCATTGTCATTGATTATCTTTAATAAACGATAAATTCATTAAGAAATAAAGATTACCAATTGAACTTACTGAAAAATCATCGGTAACATAACTGAGAATTGTTCCCAATCGTCGATGAAGCATTGTATCATCAATTTTACGTACTTTTGCTAAAAAATAAAACACGATAAAATATGTAAAGTTTTTTATTTAATCACAAACCAATTTCATGAAGTGGTTGTTCAGATAATCGTTTTCTTTTCGGTCGACGACATTGATTTTCAATTTGAGCTAAAATCTAAAAGATAATGAGTCAAAAAAAACACAACACTATCCAAAGTATTCAAATTATTTACTTCTTCATCAACAGTATCAAGTTTTTCATCATTATTTAATTCTTCGTGTGATATTGATGGTTCAACTTGAAAACTTGTTTGTATACATTCATCAATACGTGGTAAAGTTATTTTATTTATTGTTGGATGTATTGATGGCATTGATTTAGATTTAACAAGAAATAATTCTTGTTTAAGACGTGCATTTTCTTCACGTAATTCATCAATTTCATGTCGTAAATGTGGAGTTTTTATTCGAGGTACATTAGTTATTGTTGAAGCAAGGCCAGCATAACGTAATGTATTAATAGTTTCATCAATAACAGTCGATGATGGACTAATTGTTGCTAACATAAATGTCTTTGCATCGCCACCAAGACTATTTTTTAATAGATAAGTTAAATTTGAATCACGATAAGGAATATGACTTTGTTGACGAGATAATGCATCAATTACATTACGAAGTGTCGATAACGATTGATTGATATGAACACTTTCCTATGATAAAGAAGAGTTTTCTTTATGATACTATTATTATTCAATTTTTATTTATGCAACATAGTGTCAGCTCGTTCACACGTATACTCTAGTTTAATGCTTAATTTTTTTTGAAATAATTCTTATCTTATTAGGTACACCATATTCATTCAGATTAGAAACTGTTGAAAGAGACTCGTGCTCATATGTCTTTCTTCTTGAGTTATGGCCATTATAGTGAGTTTTTCAATAAGATGCTGTACTCTCTCATATATTCTTTTCTAAATTGTCCTTCGAATTCAAACATTGTGTGTAAATAAAGTTCTCAATGCGATTAGTTTATTATGAATGTGTCCGACTTTCTAGTCTCTCGTTTTGTCACATGCCAATATTAGCAATTCTATCATGCAAAAAATGAACGTTTGTTGTTGCATTAATAAGTCAGGAAATGAGATACTAGAAACTTTGGACACAAGAGTCCATGTGGAACTTGATCTGAAAGAGACCACGATATTTCACTGGCCAACTCACGTAAATGATCGTATTATATAGGCATGCATCTTTCTATGAATATCTCTAGTCTCAATAAGGTCCATCTAATGACATTAGAATTGTTTCAAAAGCAACTTCTCAATTGGCGAGGCTCTTCGTGAGAATAATCTCATGATGGTGTGAATCTTTTTGAAACAGTCAATCGCGAGTTTTTTAATTTCTCAACAAATAATTCGAAATCATTTTTTTTGTATCACAATGCTCTAAGCTATCGGAGAGAGTCGTAGGATTTTCGTTCGAGCGTTGTTACAAAGTTCCATATGATTGGCAATGCACTCCACAAAATGATAATTTTGAAGTGAAAACTTAGTTTCTTTTTTTTCAAGATAATTAGAAAAAACGAGACTGTTAGTCATGAAATAATAAAAATGAGTTCCAGCAGTAACAATGAGCGTTTATTTCATCAAATGTTGCTACTCCATTTTGAATTTTTCATCATATTGAAGATCTTCTTGATATCTACGTTCTATTTTGCTCAATAATACGATATCCGAATAAATTGGAGATAAGAAAATCAATGAAAACTTGGTAAGAACTCTTATGTATCAGAATATTATAAACTTCATCAATATTTTTTCGCAGAATATCTATTGATTTTCAATTCGTACAAATATCAAAAGATTTTTTTCGCCTAATTTAACTTTTTTGACTGATTTGAAAATTTTATAAGCTCATAAACAACGACAGCAGGTTAACAATGAGCTTCGCGCCACGGACTTATTTTATATGTTGTGCCTCCTAGTTTTGTCTTCTCAACCCATTGTTCATTGTCATTAATAGCGAATGAAAAGTGAAACTAACCAATAATAAAAGAAAATATCTTCGCTCATCTTTACACATGACAATGCTTTCGTTGCAAACTACAATCTTGTCTCTATAAGACTAAGAAACATCAGTAAGGTTTGTGTTTATTTTTATTCATACCGCAAATCGATCATTTTTTCCTTGAGTTCCATTATATTGTTGTGACTTTTCACTACCAGCTAAATCAACAAAATTTAATCGTACAGCTTGTGCATCTAATTCATCTTGTGCTTGTTGTTTTGCACTTTTCTTTGATGAACTAGATAATGTTGAATGTTTTCCAATATTTGATAAAGAATGAGCTGTATTTAATCCAAATGATAAACGCATATTTGTTGATTGTGGTATATCAATACGACTTATTTTAACAGTAAATATAGCGTGAGATCTTGATGATCGTTGATTAGCATTTGTTGATGCAACTGAACGTTGTTGATTACCCAAATTTAAAACATTTTGAAAATCTTCTTTACTTTTAACTTGAATGTATTTTAAATCAGGAACATATGGACCAAGTGAAGGATGTTCACGAATTTCAAGTGTACGTGTTGAAGTATTTGTTGTATTTGAATTTGGTACAAGTTTATTAAAAATATGTGTACGTGCTTGTTTAGAGAAAGATAATGTTGTTGAAGATTTAGTGGATGATTTTTGATTTGAATGTTCATTTGATGTTGTTGGTATTGCAAGTAAATCTGTTACTTTTTCATTATAAATTTCAAGAAAACTTAATTCAAATTTTAAATGATTATTTCCATTCATTGTTATTAAATCATGAATACTTAATGATAATATGCCTTCTTCACATGATGAACCAAATATTGAATGTGATTTGCCTTTGAAAAAAAAAACTTAAAGAATTCGCTTTTTATATAAATCAAAATACCTGATGCTGTTTGACCATAGGCTAAAACAGTTGTATTGTATCCTAAATAATGATAAATGAATATTTCTTTATTGAATTTAAACAAATAGAGAAAAATATTTTATCGAATACCTTGTAAAGAAGCAAGAACAGCTGATCGAATTATTCCATCATAAACATTTTTCTAAATAATAAAAAAAAATAAATGTTTCTCAAAAACAGTGTTTGATCTAATATAAGGATAATGCTTCCTCGAAGATAGAGTTAGCCACTTTCGAACTTTAAAATCGTCTCGTTGAGACAGAACAACCGAAATGAAACACTACTTAAACAGAAACAATTTCAAATTTATTTTCTATTTACATTTTTTGCAGAAGCATCGAAACAATGTGTAAATTTAAATATTTGTGGTCGACTATTTTGTGTACAAATAACATTATTTTCAAAGATTTGTACAGCTGGTGTTTCATCAATAGCAGATTCTCTGTATGAAAAATAAAAACAAATGAATTTTATATTAAAATAAAATTGAATAATAAACCGTTCGAGAAATGGACGTAATCGAATACCAGTAACAATAGGATCACCTTTAGTAAGTTTTTTTCCTGGTGTACGTGGAGACGACGTAACAGTAGATGATAGAGATGTGAATTGATCATCTATGAATATTTATTAATAAAATATAAACAATGAAATTTTTATTTTCAAAAAAAAAAAAAATAATTACGAGTTGTCAAAGTTGATGTTCGCAGTTGATTTAAACGATGTGCCATGATTATAAGAAAAAGAATGTGTTCAAAACGATCTAAAATTGCAGTTCATATGAAAATCAATATCGGTTTTTGGTTTTGAAAAACAAAAAAAAAAAGAAGTCTTTTATTTTTTTCTTCGACATTCATAGACAATATACTTTGCCGCCGTACAACTATCGAATAAGCGAAACAGTGAGGAACGAAAGAATGAACAGATCGAGCGTTAACGTCGATGTATTCTCAATCAAATCAAATTTTTAAAATATGAGATAGATGCCGCTTATGAGCAATTTGGTCTTTGTTATTTCAATATGATCGAAATCGAATGATTACTTTTGTTTTCTACTAACTGTAATAAACAAAATTAAATATTAATCATTCTTTAAAAGATCTTTTCAGTAGAAGCATAATTCAACAATTTGTAATTAAACATAAGACAAATATACCGCATTCGAAATTGAGTTATGATGTTTGTCTTTGTTCAATTGATTTGATAGTCAAAAACTATATTTCAAATTCCCTTGTTTGTTTGATAAAAAAAAAACATTTTCAAAAAAATACGATAAAAAATGATTTCTTTAATTTAATTATATCAAGACAGTTAGCAGTCGACCCAAGTCTTTTCAAAGACAACTCACTCTATCCATTGAACCAAGTGAAGCATTTAGCGAGCAAGATGCAGCTCAACGAGCTGCATCGAGCGCACTACATAACTTAGTTGATGCAATCCATGGGGTGCATCATTTGTGGAAAAAAACTCGAATGGACTGCTAACTTCTTTTATCCTATTTTCATTTATTATCATCATTGGTATTTGCATGTATTTTTATTTAATATTCTTGTTACGGACGTTGTAAAGTCATCAAGATTGTGGAGAAGGGGGAATTGATTTTTTGGAGGGATTATTAAGAAAAAAAAACGAAGAAAAGTATTCAGTTTCAGTGAAAGAAAATAAAAATTCTATAAGATTGAGGGTTACTTCCCACATGAAACAACTCTGATGCCTGTTATATTGATATGCAAGTTGGTATTTGTAATTAACGATTATTACGCTTAACAAACACAAAAATTATCTTATCAGAATCATAAAATGAATTTGTATTGGAGAGAAATGAATTACTTTTGTTCGTACTTGTATTTATATCTGTCCATTTGAATAGTTTTAGCAAAATACCAGTGTCTTTGAATAGAGTTATTGCTTATCAAAATCTTCTTTTAATTTATTTTTTTCTATCCAAAAAAAGGAAAATTTATTATCGTTGATCAATGTTTTCTTTGCTCAATATTTTATTTACTAATTACTAAACAAATGATTGCTTAGAATATCAATAGATCATTTTTTCTGATCGATATTTACATTAATTTGCATGGATCATTGTCAATTCTTTTCAATATCCACTTAATATTGTCGACAGCTTTGAATAATATCTTGTTTTTTGCTGATAGATCATATGATACGCGTAAGATAAATATGCTAAAACTCGACAAATCCGATAGACACGTCTGACAAAACTTTTAAAGCTTTTCTAATGTTGACCGAAGAAATGAAATATTTGTAATTATTTAACAACAAGATCAATATGTTCTTTATCTGATTTATACAATTCATTAACATCAACAAAGATATTGTTATCTTTGAATATTTATGAGTACAATGTTCACGTCTTACACATAGAAGATGAAAGTGAAAGCAATTAAACGAAAATTAGTCACATATGGTAAAGATTTCATAATCATTGTCATTGATGAAGCTCATCTGTTTTCTTATTTTGTAGGTCTATATCTTCTTTCGAAACGAGTCAAAGAACACTTATACTATCTTTATTTTCATCATTTTTCTATAAGTAAATCATCAAAATTAAAAATACTAATATGAGATTTAGTGGTAATTCTTACTGCAAATGAATGAAAAAGGAATGGTGACTAGCATAGGTAAATATATGAGTAGAAAAAAATTCTTTTTCTTTCTAATTTTCTTCATGAGAGATATCTATTTTGCTTGATTTTCTCTCATGGATGTTGAGTTTAATATCTTTTTGACATCTGACTATTGTGTCTGGGAATGTACATGTTTAAAAATAAATAGAAAAACTCAAGAAATTCGACTAACCCTAATCTACATGAAATCACTGCTGATATCGATGATGAAATGATGCAATATTCACATAACTGTAATTTCGTCTTTTTCTTTAGAAAACTTTTGTTCATTTATAGACTGATTAGAATGGTTGATAGTAAAGTGCAAATGTTTTACAACAGGAAAACAGATAACATATTTCAAAAATTGTCAAAATAAGGGCAATCAGATTACATTACATTTTATGATACATCTCAAAAACATGTTTAGCTGTAAAAAGTTCTTTTCTGCTCTTACACGAAATCTTTTCGATATCTAAAGAGTAAAGTATCAAATTATTTGGTCGTAGATGATAGAATTATTGTTTTATGTTTGCGGTGTAGATTCAAAGCATTATTTGAAAAATGTATTCTTTACGATAATTTATCATCTACAACCGAACATAAGAATGTAATAGTGATTTTTATATTAAAATTATTTACTATGTAGCTCTCCTTATTGGAATAAGGAGCGATAGTTTTTATTCCAAGTTGCCAAACAATTTATCAACAAAACAAAAGAGGTAATTTTCTTCAAACTTTTTTGTTTTTATTTATGTTGAACGTGCGCCAATCATTTGAAAAATTTGCACACTTAGTTTTTAGAATTTTATCATTGTTTCTATAGTTCATTGCAACTGATTTCGTTAACATATTCATTTTTCTTTCATGATAATTAACGGATAAGGCATGATAGAATATGAAACAGTAAAAGTAAAATTATAAATTACATAATTTTGTTTGTTTTTAGGATTTTTACCGGTCACGATGCGTAATATATTAACTGATTGTACGAGTATTAAAATTTTTTTCATATAAGCATTTTTTCTATAATTTAGTCCAAATTTTTTAAAATTATTGACTAAAAAGAGATGACACAGAGAAAAAAAAGTTAATTCAAATTTATTAAATGTAAACACAATGTACAAATCTTTGTGGAAAGTAACTAAAAATAAAATATCGATATATCGCATTAATACTGTGAAATATTGATAGAAAATTTCATGAAAAAAAGACTATTATATGTAGTTTTTCCTAGAAAATTCTAAGTTAGATATTATAGATTTACTTTATATATCGAATCCATGTTCTATTTGTCAAAGTATTGGTTTTTCTAATGACATATTTTATTTTAAAACTAAAATGTAATTTTAAACCAACTTTTTTTCTCAGTTACATGAGAACACAAAAGTATCTTTTGATAATTTATTAACAGAAGTCAAGCAGTCAGATCAAAAAATAGGACTTAGTTCAAACCAACAAAGCGCAGAAAACAGTAAGAAATCAGAAGTAGGGATCTTGAGGCCTGTTCTGTCCAGTTTCGACTGGAACTACAAGAATTCGATCATCGAATTCAGTCAGCGTGTTACCGTTTCAAAGCTTCTATCATTTTTTCTACCTTTTCGGTAGGAAATCCACAGATTCGGTCGCTGAAATCATTGACTTGGACAGAGTTGTTCTATTTAGTTGAACTGCTTTATGTCAAGCTCATTGTACTTATGTTAAATTCATTCAATTAGAAATTTTTTAGGAAAATTATTTTTTTAATTTAAACCAATGAACAACACGAATAATTAGAAAAACATATGAGCAATCATAGATAACCTTGATATTGTTTTGATATATAAATATACTGTAACAACAGTAGAACAGTTCTACTCAACCAGATTCAGTTGGCCAAAAAAAAATTCATCATAAGGGTAAAATTTACTGAATAATTTTCCAAAGTATTTATCAATTACTCTAGAGAGATAAAACAAAGACTTCAATGAAATACAGATGTAAAAACTAGGCATTACACTCAAACCAAACATTTCATTCATATATATATCTGATAAAAATATTCGTTAACAGGCAGCTCTAGTTTTCTCATGAGAAGTATAAAAAAAAGTAATAATATTCATCTCTTAAGCTCATCCGAGAGTCCCTGGACTGAAATAAGAGAAAAGTTATTTAGTGCATTTCCAAACAGATTCAATAAAAGCTATTTTTTAGTATGAATTCAAATAATATTGTGAAACAAAGAAATATTTTTGTACACAATTTTTTTACCAAATACAATGTAAATGTGCACTCCATTTTTGCAAGTAACATCCATCAAAGTATATAGATTAATATTTGTTATATAATGTCGAAAGACAAAATCAAGTGTTCATTATATTGTCTGCACAAAGATGTCAAGCTAACAATTACATAGAGCTAGATAAACGACTAATGTACACACAATCACTTCTTAATCTGACATCAGCAAGAACATATTGAAAATAAAAATTATCAAACATTTTACTTTAGTAGAAATACATAACAGCTAAAGATTTTATTATTTGATTCAAAATCAAGATCAACAAAAATTTATTAGAATTGTCATTTTTATCTTCTACTTGAATATGTAGATTTAGATAATTATCAAAAAAAATATAATAAATCAATTCTATAAATATTTTAAGAATATATTTTCAGATCGAATGCATTGGAATAGGTCATTTTGACTCAGATCATTTTCAAAAATTCTATTTTTATTTCATTATTGATTAAATTTTATTTGAGTTCTAGTTATTTGAAATAGTCAAAAGACAAAAACTTAAAATATTTCTTCATCGATATTATGAAAAAGTTCAATTAACAACAATCTATCCATATAAGACTAGAAGAGAAGAAAGTGAACATTAATGTAGTAGTAAAATTGATCAAACGAAGTCTCACTATACACTTTATCTTTCATTCACATTGATACAAAACAAACTTTTTCGGTGAGAAAAAAAAAAAGAGTTAATTTTATCGACAAAGTTCACTGCGTACATGTTGCTTTTGCAAACAACTATGTAAAACCAGCCTACAAATTGGATGTCTCAAGGATGTTCTACATTTTGTTTCTTCTGGGTACATTGATTATTTAGAATGCTGCG